CCCCGCCGCCTCCAGGCGCACTCACGCACCCCCTTGCTCCAAGCGGCTGCGCGGTCGACTCCTACTCATCGCGGCCCTTCCGCGCTGCTCGCTCGGGGAAAGGCAAAAGACGGCGGCTCAGGGGCGGCCAAAGAGCCGGGCCCTTCTCCTCGGGAGGCTTGGGGGAGGAGGCTTCGGGCGCTCATGGCCCTCCTGCGCGGCAGCCGGCGCCCAAGAGCGGAGCGCCAGCATCCCGGGGCCCCCTCTCCCCCGCCAGTCTCCGCTGCTGCTCCTGCTGCAGCGCCGGCCCGGGACAGGCGGGGAACGAGGCCCTCCGATTGCTAAGCAACCGAGGGAGCCGCAATAAAGAGGCGCGGGCCGTCCGGCCGTCCCGGCTAGCAACCAAAGCGTGGCTAGTGAGGGCGTCGCGTTGGGCAGAGCTCCGCGGCCTGCAATGTAACCATGTTATCTGTGCCACGCCTCTCAGCGAGAGAAACGGTCTCCTCCTGGTCGTTACTCTGCGTTGGGAAGAGCTGCACCGGTTGAATCTGCGCCTGTTTAAACGCAGGATTAAACGAGGGAGGCTTTGCGGGTAGAGGCAGCTAAAAGTCAATTGCAATCCTAACAAGCTTTAGAGCACCATAAAATATAGCACATTTTGTTGTGGAGTACACCTTTCGTGGGTTACACTGTCGTCCGCACTTCATTTGATCCATGAGAGGCGTTTGTTGGGCACGACTATGCATCTTAATTATGTGTAGGAGGGCGGAACGAGAGGCAAAAAGAGGACTCCCGAAGTTATGAAATGAAAAAGGATCAGTTTGGGCAACCACTCTTCTCCCCCCCCCCTTTTCTCTCTTTAATTTTGCCAGCCTGCTGAGACAGACCAACATTAAAGGATCAGTTTGGGCAACCACTCTTCTCTCCCCGCCCCCCTTTCTCTTTCTTTAATTTTGCCAGCCTGCTGAAACAGACCAACATCCTTCGGAATTCACTTCCATGGAGCTCTCGTTAGCTCTATGGCGTCTGGCAGTTCTCATCCTCACTCCTTTGTTGGGCATTAGAACTCCATAATATCAGTCATGTAGTAGCAGAAGCCTAGCTCCCGGCTGCTTTCAAGGTGCTGGCGTTGGTACAGATTCATCCAGGCATGAAGTAAATTTAAGCATAAAGAAGGAAGTCGTGAGATATTAGGTTTCCAACAGAGCTGTAGGAGAGATTGAGGGCTGTAGTTTCCCTAATTCACTAAATTGTGATAACAGTGTAACATTAAATTAAGTGGGGTACACTTCTGTATAAATGTGCCATAATACTATGAAAAGAGGCTATTGTTTATTTTAGGCTGAAATCAGCATGGCAAGAACTAGCCTAACAGTTTTATAGAAGACAAATATAAAAAGCTTCAAGATGTCAAAAAAAATTACAAGACAGTCCTAGTCCTTCAAATAACAAAGGGGGACACAAGATACCAAATGCTGAATTAAGGTTATCAGATCCTGCTCTTTAAAAGATAATTTCTCCAAACCTCATGTTAGTCTAAAGCCCATGTTATACATTCAATAGAATAAAATAGAAAAGTTGTTCTTGGACTGGACGTATCGGGCAAAAACAAAAGAAAAGTAGAAAATAAATAACTTGTATAGTTTGATGTGAGCTTCTGTGGACAAGTCCTCTTCCTCAGATATCTACTACCGTGGACTGGACAGGATCACTTGGATTATACATGAGGTAAACGAATATCAGACTTAGACTGCTTTGTGGACAGGATGAAGATGCGTATTAGGTGCTTTTCTTCTGTAATTAGCAGTATGCACATGCAGGCTCTTGGCTAAAGTAACAATCTAGACATGCATCTGTTTGTTATACTGCCTATCTAGTGACATCTCATTACTCTGGCTGGTTTACAAGCGTACACATAAAACATCAGCCCCCACCCATCTATATATAATCCAAAGACAACCTCCCAAAAACAGACCCCCATGGCAATGATGACCAATCTTTGACATTACTAACACATGAACTACCATTATCAGGGATTTCCTGTCCAGGCAGGGCTGCAGGTATTCAATCTGCCTATACAGTATTTGAAAAAGACAGACTGGACCAAAGCTGAAATCTGTTTCTCTACTGAGAGTGCTGGGTCCAGAAGTACACCCAAATTATGCAACTGGTCCTTCAAGGGGAATGTAACCCCATCCAAGCCAGGCAAGGAACTCCCTATCTGGTCAGACTCCTCTCCTAACAGCAAAATCTCTATTTTGTCAGGGTTCAACTCCAGTTTGTAACCCTCATCCAATCTGTATCCAAGGCCAGGCAGCGCTCCAGGGTCTGCACAGTTTCCACTGCTGAAGATGAAAAGGTGCCATCAGCATATTGATAACAGCACACTCCAGTTCTCCTGATGACCTCCCCCAGAGGCCTCATATAGATGTTGAACAGTATTAGGGAGATGATTGATCCACATTTTAGAACTCATGAGGCTGAAACAGCATCCCCAAGCTGTACCATTTGGCCATCAAGAAAGGGCCAGAGCCAGCATAAACCTGGACCCCTTATCCCCAATATAATCACTTCTGGAGGATATGTGGTCAACAGTATCAAATAACCTGGACCCCTTATCCCCAATATAATCAGTCCAGGAGGATTTGTGGTCAACAGTATCCAATGCCACTGAGAGATCCAGGAGGACCGACAAGATTATAGTCCCTTGGTTGGCTTCCCTTAAGTCATCAAGCAAGGTGACCAAAACTGTATCAGTCTCATGACATGGCCTAAATCCTGATTGAAAAGGATCAAGACTACAAGTGTTGTCCAAGAACACCTACAGCTATACAGTATAGCACATCTTGGGAGTAACTATTTACAAGTTACATAGTTGCTTGCAGCTATTTATTTTTATGGGTAAAGGCAATGAGTAGATACATAAACTCTCAGTAAACGTACTATAACAAGTAGTTACAATGTTACTTGATGGCATAACAAATCACATTTTCTAATTACTTTAAAAGACTGTCTTAAGACATTTTTAGAGGCTTTTTGACAGGAATTTTCCAGGTTTTATGCCATTCTTGTATCAAACTGAAGACAAAGCATGCTTACTTTATTTGTGGAAAGACAGCAAAAATAGCTGCCCTGCAGTGAAGAATCTGGAACTTTGTATGCAATAAAATTGGGTAGATCATAAACAGTGTTAATAGTGAAATTATCTTTGTATGCCAAAAATGTGCGGTGAATATGTTTGTGATTCTACGATAGAAGGCATATGTTTGAAAGGCAGTGTCACAAGCACAAAAGCACACTCTTCTGACCCAGAGGTGAAGAGATTAGAGAAAAGGAAAGCAAATTTGATACACACTCTAAAATACAACAGGTTCATTGATGGCAACCACATATGTGATAGTAGACACAGCATACCAGATTCTCAGTTACTCAACAGATGATACACTAGAATCCTGGAGTCAGTAACACAGAAACAAATAGCAGTGTACACAGATAGTTTTTTTTTCTGCAGTGTTGAGCAGTTAAGGGTTCAGCTAAGGTTGATGGTGTAAAGATGTACAAAGCAGCTATACTGTACAGTACAGTATATAGAAATGCACATTTAGAATAACAAATAATTTCAGGGTGCTTTTACTCCATCCTGTGGTCAAGCTGAGGAAAAATTAGTAGGCTATATATTTTTCCAGCCATTTGTAAAATTATGGGCAAAGTATTATTTGTAAAGCTTTTAAAAAGCAAGATATGTAAAACTATCTTTGTTTTATGTTGTAAATGAAACAGAGCCCCCAAGAATATGAGTTGTTCTGTATTTACAAATTATAGCTTTTCTAACCTATTTACTAGAAAACAATTATTTTCTGGCAACTGCTTCATTGGCCTTCTGCACTTCAGAGCACTTTCATGCTTAATTATCAGAAAGTACCTTACCTATTGATGATGTCACCAAAAATACAACTTCCCAGGACAATAGAATGCTCTAAAATACTTGCTATCAAAAGTAATACTCAGTCTCAACAATTGTACATCCATAGTACATTATGGATGCCTTGTGCCACTGCCTTTCCCAACCTTTTGCCTTCCAAATATTTTGGAATGCAGCTTCTATCAGCCCCAGCTGATAGAAGCTTTTTTAAAAAAAGCCCACCTTTTTGATAGCAACATTGATGCTGTGACATTGATGCTGTGGAACTCTGTACTCTAGTTATTTCTCATTATTTATTTTTGCTGGTAAGCAAGTACCTGGTTGTTTCAATGGGCTTTTGCATCTGTCCTGTGCTGAAATGAAAGTTTTTATGGAAATTGTAATTATGAAATACAACTTCATATATGTGCAATGCTTGATGTTTATTTAGTTGACTGTTATCTGAGTTGTTTGTTTTTAGACAACTGTACAACAGCTGATAAGATTTTTTTAAAAGCATGCTAATAACAACATGAAGATAAACAATAACAGACTGAGGAATGGCCAACAACTTAAAGTAGGTGTAGATTATGCATACAGATCAGTAACTTTGACAGAGAGATTAAGATTATTTTGTGGCTTTTCTACTGCTCCCAGATTCTTGCAGGATTCTAGAAGCTACAGGGACTCCTTCTACATAACTGTGTAGCCTGCCAGAAAACACAATCTTATTTTTTTCCTTTTTACACCACCGTGGTAGTTAAAATGGGAAGGGAAGGGGGAAATGTGGGAAGAAAATAGTTTTTCTTTCCCCATAGGCATCTAATCCACTTTGCTTTAATTCCTCCCACATATACATTTGAAGACAAGTCAGAAAAAGTCCAATCTTATTTTTTTCCTTTTTACACCACCATGGTAGTTAAAATGGGAAGGGAAGGGAAGGTGGAAAAGTGGGAAGAAAATAGTTTTTCTTTCCCCTTAGGCATCTAATTCACTTTGCTTTAATTCCTCCCACATACACATTTGGAGACAAGTCAGAAAAAGTCAATGAGGAGAAAGAAAGAAAGAAAGAAAGAAAAATTGTATCTTGCTTAGATGCCTTTTATTAGATGTCAGATTTTTAATATTTCTTAGAACTTGCTGACCTATGTAATTCTGGATTTGTCTGCTGTAGGACCCTCTCTCTGTAGACTTTCAGTTTGTAGTTTCATAAACATTTATGAAAACAATATTTCCCAAAATAGAAGCTATTATGCATATTTTCTTACTTTTATTTTTCATTAAATAAATTAAATGTTCTTGTCAAAGACCAGTCAGGCTTATTAGCTCCTTTTAATATAGCACAGAAGAGAAATAAAATGAAAGCAAATGTTGCATTTCTCAAAGATTAAGAGATAAATCTAGTATATCAAAATGAGAAAGAAGTCAATAAAACTAGATTCTGGTTTGTGTGTGTGTGTGTGTGTGTGTGTGTGTGAGAGAGAGAGAGAGAGAGAGAGAGAGAGAGACTGGTATGTGTGCTAGCTGTGTGTTTTGTTAGGCTACAGAGACCTGAACCTAACACCTCTGGAAGGCTTAACTATGTAAAAGAAAGCAACACCTCATGGAACTTTAGATCCTGCTGTCTCTAAATAGGCTGTCTGAATAGTTCCAAGAGTTGGGCCCCTGGCCGTGGAGCCAGAATCTGGAAGTTTAATTCTCCACTGTCCTTCCAGGGATAAGAATCAGCCTGTGTGGCCCAGGGCAAATTACACAGTCCCAGAGTATACCAGAAAAAGGGAACACTATACTACTTCCAGCATAGGGTTATCATAATTTGGAATCAACTTGATGACACACTTATATTCTTATTCTTATTCTTTTAACAGAAGTTAAAAGTGTGATGCTTCACAACACCTACAATTGGAACATGGAATGTGAGAAGTATGAATCAAGGTAAACTGGAAACTTTAAAGCAAGAAATGAATGGTTAAACTTTGCTGTGTTTAGTATCAGTGAACTAAAATGGAATAGAATGAGACATTTTCAGTCACACAAAATGTTCTATTCTGGAAATGAGAAATTCAGAAGAAATATAGTGGCTGTAATACTGAGGCAAGATGTAGCAAGGCAGTTAGGGACTATAATGCTATTCAATTCTTAAAAAAAAAACCCTATGGTAATGAATGGTTAAACTTTGCTGTGTTTAGTATCAGTGAACTAAAATGGAATAGAATGAGACATTTTCAGTCACACAAAATGTTCTATTCTGGAAATGAGAAATTCAGAAGAAATATAGTGGCTGTAATACTGAGGCAAGATGTAGCAAGGCAGTTAGGGACTATAATGCTATTCAATTCTTAAAAAAAAAACCCTATGGTATATGAATATGCAAGGCAGTTAGGGACTATAATGCTATTCTATTCTTTAAAAAAAACAACCCTATGGTATATGAATATGGGATATTGTGCTTCTGTACTCATGATTCAAAAAGCCAGGAAATGGCCCAATATTGGTGCAAAATATCATGTTCACTTTGCCAGCAAGAAAAAGGATGCCAAACTTTACATAGCAAAGGACAGCCTGAATGTTGACAATACTATGGCAACAATCAAGATGGTCTACAGCAGTGGTGTCGAACTGTGGCCCTCCAGATGTTCTTGGACTTCAACACCCAGAAGCCTTCACCACCACCTCTGCTGGCCAGGATTTCTGGGAGTTGAAGGCCAAGAACATCTGGAGGGCCACAGTTCGACACCAGTGGTCTACAGGATATCCTATTCTGCTCACTACCATTCACACTTGCTGAAAAAGAGCCCTGTCAGTTGCTTTATATTTTGGTGAGAACTGGTTAACTGATGAAAAAAGGAGTCATCTTCTGGGATTTTCCCTTGCATGGTGTCACTTTGTGAATCATAGTGGTGCTGGGGAAGTCCTGTTCAGCACCTGGAGTATTTCAGAGTTCCATGGGTGGTGCTGGGGAAGTCCTGTTCAACACCTGGAGTATTTCAGAGTTCCATGATTCCCCATACTTTTTCACATATACATGAAAAACCTGAAAGAGGCTGTCCAGAGTTTTGTGGTCTGGTTCCAGTGTGCTAACGACATCCAACACCATTTCCTTTTTAAGATCTTCCAGAAGGCCCTTCTCTGTCTCTCAGGCCCCAGTGTGAGTTTGAAGGAAACAGAAAAAAGAAAGACTAAATGCAAGAAAGATTGACTCCCTGAAAGAAGGAACAGCCTGAGTTTGCAAAAGTTAATCTGGGCTGTTGAGGGCAGGATATTTTGGAATTGCTCATTCATAAAATTACCATAGGTGACTTGACAGCGCATAACAAGAACAACTAGAGATAAGTAGAGTAAGGATAAGTAGAATAGAGGCAAGTAGAAATAAATACATACAAAATGAGATAGGTTTCTGTCCAGGTCCTGTGCCACTTTTTCAAACAAACAGGAGTACGGTTGCCATCCCCAGAAAAAATAAGCTGGCAAGGTTTCACCTGTCCTTTGTTTTGGGGCCAACTGGAGAAAACTAAAGAATAAAGTCTGTTTTTCAGAGTTTTAACCTCTCAGTGAAGAGATGGCTTGTACATGGGGTTTTGTTGTCTCCAAACTGCTAGGCTGTCCTCTGCCCCTGAGCTGCTCCTCCACTGAAGCCTTTGCTTTCCCCAAGTTCATAACCTGACATTGATACAAAGCTAAGGTCACTTTGGTATTCTTAGTGAACCCCCTTTCATCTCAGGGGGGAACAGATACAATACAACTCTGTTGATATAACTATACTTCTATCTGTGAAGATTCTCACTCATCCAGATGTGGTTATCTGGAAGTTGAGCCATGGCAACTGGACTTCTTTCTTATTTGGTTGAAACGTTTCGCTACTCCTCCAAGTAGCTTCTTCAGTCTGAGAAGAGTTGGTAGAAGACTCCTGATATATCCAAAGGACCCATGACAATGAATGGCGAAGGACAACAGAAGTGGGATTTTCACTCACACCTCCCCCCCCTTTCCTTTGTCTGTCTAATTCCTATTCAGACTAGGGGTAAGTGAAACCAACCTGGAGGATATATCAGGGGTCTTCTACCAACTCTCCTCAGACTGAAGAAACTACTTGGATGAGTAGTAAAATGTTTCAACCTAATAAGAAAGAAGTCCTGTTGCATGATTCAACTTTCAGACAACTAGACTTGACAACAGCATTTGAGTTATCTAGAAATCCACCAGAATGAAAAGACCCCAGTGTATTAGAGGCTGCATCTGCAGCTGGGAGGAGTGCAAAATTACCAAGGAAAATATTGTCTGCTTATGCTGCAGGATGTTGCAGGAACAATAGTTGTGAAAAAATTGTGCATCTGGATGAATAATGCTGCAATCATTATTGTGGGATCTAACCCCAAGAGACTCCTTCTTTTACTTCAGAGCTTAGAAGTAGCCTGCCATAATAATTAGTTACTGAAACCTATTTCATTCCCATAGCTCCTTGTGCTAGGAGGAATTCCCAACTATTTTGCACATGCAGTTCCTTCTGATTTCACAATTGTCAGACTGTGCCAGTTTGTATGGGCAGGCTGACAAGATGCTTGGGCACCAATCAGACACCAAACACAACTCTGCTCTCCATAAACTATCTCCAGTATACTTCTTTACATAAGCAAGAAGAATGTGAAACTTATGCCAATAATCCTGGTTGCATCAGGAACATCCTGGGCAATGTATCTATTGATGGCTAACTATAGCATTGTAAATATTAGAACTTGAAGTGATTTCGTTATTTTAAAAAGATTATTTTTATTTTCTGATGTCAAACATTCATGAAAATAATAAAGAATGGTTGGAATAGCCATGTTTGCATAAATAATAAAAACGATGTTTATTAGTCCTTATTATTACACATAATAGCTGTAAGAACATAGGCCCTCCTTGTTGATTTTCTGTTCCAGTATTGAGGTGAAAGGTAAAGAAGAAATACTGCTCTGAGACCACTTGATAAGGCAAATTAAATTCTATGCGCTTGGAGGGGACAAAAGGAAAAAGGAGACTGTCACTCAGGCTTTATTTTTAGCAACCTTTCTTCCTTTCCTTCTGAGTCAAACTAAATTTTCCCTTGATGTACAGTGCAAACTTGAGAACTTGGTGAGTTTATGTGACTTCTGGGGATTGGATTTTTAATCACCTTTCAAGAGTGGCTGGGCTCCTCTCAAATTGAATAATCAGCTTGTCTGTAGCTAGAGTTCCAGGTCTGCTGAAGCCAAAACTAGGGTCAAAAGTTGCTAAGAGTTGGCCAGCATATCTGGGAAGTTTTATAGACTATGCCTGATTAAATAATGTATTAAGCCCAGGCTTGAATTCTTTCCCTACTTATAAACACTATAATGTCAGATTTCATTTTTAACTTTTTGTGCACTTCTGTGGAAAAGCTCTCTAAACAGAATGTAGACAGGCCAACTAAAGCAAAAAAAGAAAAAGAAAAAGAAAAAAAGAAGAAGAGGAGGTAGGAAAAGAAAAAGAAAAAGAAAAAAAAAGAAGAGGAGGTAGGGAGAAGCAGCATTTCTGTCATTCCATAAAGTTTTCTGGGGTTCCAGAACATTAACTACACTGATGTTAGGTTTTATCTTTGCATTCAGTGAGCATCTTGGATATTTTTTGAGAAGAGGTGATTAAGTCACAGTGCACCAAGCAGCAAACTAAGCCTGTGGTCACACTGGCAATAACAAACACATTTAAGCATCATTTAAATTGGTTTAGATTTTATCGTTCACATGTTGCAAGGGTGAAACTGATTTATGTGGACTGCAAAGTGAGGTTTTTTTCAACAGGTGGGCAGCCTGTAACCACAGCCTAAACTGCACTAAATGTGTTGACAGAATGCTTGTCGAGAATTTTACACATTAACCACTAGGTGGGGCAGGGAAACAAACTGCATCCTGCTGTTGTCTGTTTAGCTCCTTTGGCATCCTCTTGCAACAGCAACTTGAATTTGTATAGCTTCTTCTCCTGCTTAAATGCATATGATTTGTTTATGTTATTTCAGGTTTTTTAAAAAAATTATAGCCCTATAGGTTTGCTGCAGGAGGAAATGTCCATGCACAAGTTATTAGAAGAGCTCCTAAGCCAGGGATCAGCAATTTAGGATGTAATTCCCATCAACCATAGCTAGCATAGTCAATGGTGAGGGATGATGGCAGTTGTAGTCCATCAGAAACTAGAAGGTTATAACTTGTACACTTGACAATGGTGAGGGATGATGGCAGTTGTAGTCTACTAGAAGGTTATAACTTGTACACTTGTGTCCTAAGCCTACCATCTATATATTAAAAGGGTTAACTAAAATAAGTAAAATCACAAGGACAGGGGAAGAGGACATTGCCTCAATTCTGATGGGAAACCCTGGCTTTTTATTAATACACTAGGGCAGGGATAGGCCTCAAGGCTGTTGTGACGTGTCACTTGCATGTCCCCAGATTATTACACTAACTTAAGGCCCATGCCACGTTCCTGTTTACGCTACCACCAGTTGATCTCTGTCAACAATATTTACTTAGAAAGACTGAGGTCCATACTGTGTGTAAACTTTAACAAAACAGGTTTATTGGATACAGTTCACATAAGTAGGTTTTTCAAAGACTTTAAAGCAGCGGTCCCCAAATGTTTTTGGACCGTGGACCAGTTGGGGTGTGTGGGCTCTGTGTGCAGGGGGGTGGGGCCACCCCCAAGCTCACGGGTGGGTGTGTCATGCCCACAGGTGGGTGTGTCATGCTTGCGGAGGGGCGTGTCACGCTCACGGGTGGGCATGTTGTGCTTGCGGAGGGGCTGTCATGCATGCATGAGCACAAGTGTGACACGCCCACCCGCAAACGCGGGCCCACTGCCACCTCAGCATGGGTGGGTTGTTGCTACAAAGGCGATCGGCCATAGGAAGAAGTCATCGCCTGCCTCCCTCTCCCTCTCCCTCCACC